CTCCACAAACACTTCGGCATCAAAAAGAAGAATAGCTTGAGCGGTGAGTGTGCCAGGGCCAGTACCTCGTCGGTTGGCCCATACTCCCCAGAATATAATCCTGGGTAATGTTGGTCAGGCGGGAAATTGTCTGGGTCTACATGTTGTATATACATCAAATATCATGTTAGGATATGTTGTAGGTTACACCCCTCATTGTCACGAACCTAAGTTCCACCCGTTAACTTGCATGTCAGCCATGTTGTCATCGTCCATCACAAAATCAATCATATCCGGCTTCTCAAAGACGCTCCACTGCTGTGTCGAACCAGCTGCTTCTCCATCAGCACTCATAGTATCTGATCCAGCCTCACTATCGTCCTCATCACTGTAGTCTTCACCCGACGCAAAGCCCTCACCTTCACTTCTCGCTCGACTCCACTCGTCATCATCATCGTAAAACGTAATCTCGGTCTCTGTTTCCTCGCAATCCGAGTTCAACGCATCAAACTCGTCAGCGGAAGCGGGGGCAGCGATCGGAGAGGCTGAGACCGACGTTCTTTCAGGCGAAATTGGAGCGGAACACAGCGAGACTGGAGCAGAAGTCGGCGAAACAGGGGTAGAGCTTGCCGCGTCGGGGACAGGAGTCTGGGAAATGGATGCTGAGCTTTCACTATGATACGCACAACGTAGTATACATAATCAGCATCAAAGACTTTGCCACGTACCGATCGTCTTCTGGTGCTGCAACTGGACATTCAGGAGCTGGACATTTAGGAGCTGGACATTCAGGAGTCAGGGGGTGGCGCAGGCGCTGCAGACAACGTTCGAGGCGACGGTGCTTCTGACGTATCTTGAGGATCGGTGGAACCCCTGTCGATAGACAATATATGTTAGCTGCTGGACATGTTGATACATGTTGTCGATACACGTGTAGGGAAAGCATAGCGACGCTGTATCCATGTGGATGTCCAATGTGTATGTACTGCGGACGGACAACACACTTCTAAGACAGTAGTTCTGAAGCAGAAAATGGGGACTCTCAGTGTCCACTTGGTTGGCGGCTCCTCTTCTTGTTCGCTTCAGCAATCGCCTCCAATCTCTTCCTGGCCTCGGCCAAAGCGATGCTCCCTTGTTCCTCGGCATTCGCCGAATCTTCACAGCGCGATTCGGCAGCTGCTGTCCTCGCTACTTTTGCCGCTGCCTCAGCAACTTGCGACGCGGTGGGTTTTCGTGGCTTCTTGGTCGGGGTCGCCTTCTTGGTCGGGGTCGTCTTCTTGGTCGGGGTCGCCTTCCTCGTCGGGGTCGCCTTCTTGGTCGGGGTCGCCTTCTTGGTCGGGGTCGCCTTCTTGGTCGGAGTCGCCGCGGCCGTCTTCTTCTTCTTCTTCTTTGGCAGCCGTGTCTTGGCTGGGGAGTCTGCTGCATCCAGTCGCTCATCGTCTGCATCAGCATCCGCTTCCTCGTCGAACAGAGCGGGATCATAGTCCTCATCATCGTCGCTCAAGTCCCTACTAGCAACCAACCGTTTCTTGCCGGAGCCTGCCAACGTCTTTGCGGCGACAGCACGTTGCTGCTGCGAGATCGAACGTCGCTGCGCACGCATGTAACAGGCATCTTTGCCGATCGGAGCCGGAAGCAGAGGACGAGCTGTCGCGCTGCGTGTAGGTGCTGGATCTTCTCCGAAGTCAGCATCCTCCTCTCGTTCGCCAGCCAGGTACGCCGCATGTTCCTTCCTGATGCGCTCTCGGTCGTGCGCAGTTCGGCCATCCAGACGTTGCAGGAACTGCTGGCGTTCGCGGCGTGTTTCTCGAGGCGGGGCCATCGTGCACACGTGTCTCCCCTTCAGGTATTTTCTCGAAATGAGCTCTCAGCCACCGACCAAGGGGAGAATCTGTATTGTTTATTGCCAAAGAGACTGATCTCAACAACCCCAGCCCTGTGCATTCTCAAGTTTGCCCATCTTTTTCAACAAAATAGCCCAACTTTTAACATGTTGTACGTACAACATGATTCCTGCTGTACTTACAACCGTTGGGTGTTGGGGGGTTAATGGATACATCAATATTCCACAGTGTATTACAAAGTGGGGTACGCAAAGTAGGAAACATATTCGTGTAGCGTTCAGCAGGAGTAGAAGGCATCGTGTTTTCCGACGAATTATCCCATAGTGAGTGTACGTAAAACGAGCTCCACCCAACTGCGGCATAGAACCGCACACCGTAGTTATCGGGCTTAGACGGCATGAACGTCTAAGCCCGCATCCTTGCCTTGGTTCGGACGGTCATCTCATCAATGCTACAAACATCAATCGGAGCCGCAAAATCAGCAAAACGCTGTTGGAAATGCTCCATAACTCCACGACATCGCCAAAGCGGGTCCCTCTCTTTATCAAACGACAGATGATCTGGCGAGTAGACGGACACCGACAAGGTCACAGGATGTCGTTAGGGTAGCTAAGTGACAGCTGTGTTTTATAAAAAAAATGAAGAATAAAATAAAAAGATGTCACATGTAGCAGTGTGTCAGATACCTGAATAATCTTTTTCTCTGTTATCGTGATGGGGCGTGGGTGAAAAATGTGCTTCTTTCTTTTTACCAGATCTGTTCCAGTACTAAATGGCTAAGCGATACTGGGCAACCAGAGGGATTGTGCCTTAAGTGGGATCGTGGCTAAAAGCGTCGCCTTTGATGGCCGGTTCCAGCGAGAGTCTGGGATGGACAAGGCAACATTATTCGTCTTGCTCGGGAGACGGGGAAGGGGGGGGGAGAGCAGTCACCGGCATGCACTATCGTCTCCTCAAGTACTCGTCGGTCGGTAGAGAGAGAGGTACTTAAGATGCTTTCAGCCAGCATTTAGATGTTGACGAGGGATACTGTGCCCAAGTTAGGTTATACTGGCCCTACGCGGTGTCTGGGCCACCTGTGGATCCGGAGCTTTTTGGAAAGTGGCATGTGGCATCTTAACACCAGCTCACCAAGATCTACAACTGCAAGAAAGAAGGACCTCACAAAGGCCAGAATAACAATGGAAACTAATTTGGCCGCAGCGCATTATTAACCTCAATGAATTTATTTTGGTAGTTTGGAAGAGGATAAATGGAAAGGTCAATTTGTAAGCGTTAGACGTCGCAAGATCTGCTGCCCTTCGGTAGCAGTTAAATCATCATCAAAATCATAAGCCCCGCCTCAACATGACTCCACGAGCTGAAATAAACTTCGTTGAAATTGGCACCGCTACGGTTAACAGATCCCGAGCACCTCGATTTCGGTCAAAACGCAAGCTCATCATAGTGTGTTAGATATACTTAGCTACGTTGACGTTACTGAAATAGTATTGTTTTAGATGAATTTAATTCAGCGATGCGCAGCGCGACGGCGCGGACGTGCTTTGAATCGTACCATCTCCTGTTCACTTTGCTTAATTGTGGAGCTGGACCGTCTCCGAGATGGTGCTTAGGATCAGGTTTTCCTCGCCTTCCCCATCACTTGTTGGCATGCGTTTGGTAGTTTTGAAGCTAAGTGGAAATAATTGAAGCATGATCCGCATGACAGAATATCAAGTTACACAAAGAACAACGGTAGCTTGAGTTGTTCCATTGTCGATTTTGTGTTATTTTCATCGTGATTCCGCTCACAACTCAACAGCAATCGCAGTTGTTTTCCGTTGGACAGCAATACTTACAACCATGATGCTTTAAAAATCTATAAACTGTCTGCGACGCGCCCATTTCTATTTGGAGTCATGTCTACTAAATGGAGACGAATTATTTCTAAGAAAACGCAGCTTTAGAGTGCTTACATTTTCGGAATTAGTGTGTCCGTTTGCGCTGATAGTGTGCAGAAAGGGTCTAAAGCCTAGCAAATGCACAACCAGCGTAACGGAGTCACAGCCAGTTTCGTAGCGCTTTTTTACTTGTCTTATTCTACTTGTCCCACAAATCTGCGTTTTGGATCGCACCATTACTCACAAATCAAATCATAGTGTTCTTTTTCTATAACCCCGATTGGTCAGATGGGTACAGCGCGAAGCTGGTTGGCACCCCCAAACTGGTCGTAGATCTAAGGCTAGCAATCCCGGTATCTCATCTCATGGTGTTTCTCCCGACTGCCCAGTCGATCACCATTTAGACCCGCCGTTACAGTGGTCACAGCGTCGAGGTTCCTCATTCTATCGTGTTTGTCTCGTTTGGATCAGCAGTATTGAGCTCTTGGGTTAGTCCGTCGTCATCTGCACTAATTAGTACGTCTAAACGTCTTGCAGCATCACGACATAGTTTTGGCATTTGTGATGCTGATAAGAGCGCTCTTCGTCCATGAGAAATGACCTACGCTACACCAAAAAAACGGTTATATTACTGCTGTGGGTCAAACTCGGGTCTGGTAACGTACTTGTAGTGCCTGAATCGACTAAAACGCATTGCTGACTAAGGTCATCAATGACCGCTGCCATATTACAGACAGGTAATAAGTTCGACTCCTTCGATTGTTTAGCCGAAAAACCGTAGAAACCGCTCAGCTGCCCTCAGATGACCCGCCGCGGTTAGGTTGTCGCCGAGCGCTTCCATAACTGAGGCCATGGACAGGAGTGGGTACCGAGGGCCGCTTGGAGCATTATAGCATCTGTAGACGCCCTGATATTGCTCTGTACCGAAGCTTCAGTCGTCGAGTATGACGCCGAAGTCAGATGGCATCTCCTCTCCGATGTTGGTTTTGACAACCTTTGTCACGTGATCCATATTGGACAGCAGTGTATCTACGGACACATCGGCCAAATTCGTGTACCTGGGCCCAAAACATTTGTTGGTGTAAATAAAAGGTACCATCAAATTAGTAAAACTGAGTTCTTACTGGCGTGTCTTCTTTAGCTCTCAAAAGGAAAGGGGCAAGTTGAGCGACAGGACGCAATTCATCCACGCGTAGCGGGTGGATGCATTTCGACTTACCCAGGAGACGAGCGTTCCCGTCGCCGCGGAGGTTACACCTCGCATCTCGCTCCCAAAATTGGGGTGATACTTGTACACATGCGTCCCCAAGTTGGTGTAGCCATTCTTCGGGACGTGTTCGCGTTGCCTTCCGCATGCCTAGCACACATGATATTCCGTCAAATTACCCTTTTCATCGAGCAACGGTTTAAAGAAGAAGGCAGTAATTTGCCTGGGGCTGAGCACTGGACGGGGCGCAAACATAATGTAATTGGTCCTTGGTTGCTCGTTAGAAGGCACTTTTGAAAATGAGGTTTGCTGTTCGCTGCAGGGCTGGTAGGTCGGGGGTGATCACATCCTGTGCTTTTTGATTGGTGGGGGCAGCTTGAAAATAAGTTATCACGGATTAAAATTTTGTGAAATGCGTTTTGAGTACAAGACCAAATTAATTGCAAAATAAATTATTTTATGGGTCAATAAATTATTGCGTTTTCGGTTTATCTATTTTCGGTTTCCCTGGGTCGCTAAGTCCGCAGACGAGAGCCAACGCGAGAGTGTCCTACTGGATCTCCGCTTAACCATGTACTGCAGCGTCGACTAGCTAATGTGTTCTCGTGTGTACATTAGTACTTCTACATGCCCGAGGAATGTCATGCTAAGTGGATGGAGTGCGGATTGTACTGCCCAAAAATAAGAAGGACACATCTCTCACGAGTGTTTCACGTGGTAGTGACCAGCCAAAAACGTTTTGCGTCGCCTCAAATTTGTTTTGAGTCGATTACGCTTGCATGCAGCACTGGTCGAGCATTTAATTTTTCAGTATCCGATTCGAAATTTAAAAGGACAAAATATGAAAACGCAAAGCGAGGTGCGGCAAACACACACGAACCGTGTTTGTTACACAGATTAGAAGTGAAGATGTGGCCGTGGCACTGCGGGATGAGCCGCTATCTCCGAGTGGCAGAGAGCCGTCCATCCCGCTCAATCCTCACGATCGCCCAGCGATTCACCCACCTCATTTCCGGATATCCTCTAAGGGCAAGAAGAAGCCGGGGCGTATCACGGCATCCGGGGGCTGGCTCGGCGGCGGCATCAGCGACACAGACAAAGGCTACGGTGACACCAGTGACACAGTCAAACCGCGGCGTGCCACGGCCACCTGGGGGCTGGCTCGGCGGCGGCACCGGAGAAGAAGGCCTGACTATGTCCCGCGTAATGTGCTAGCGGACGCGTTGCCGAAGGCTTGGGCAGAACGAGCTGATGGGTTAGTACCTGTACCGCTTTAGCTGATGGATTTTGGTGGTGCGTTTGCTGGCATGTTATGCATGCATGAATTGGTCAATCAAGTGTGTAAGTACTTGAATCAAAACAAATATAAATATAGAATGGGCACCGGTGCTTGTCTACTTTTCAAACTACTCTTCTTCTGCTTCTACTTCAAAGTAAGCGCGCTCAACTCTGCGGCGATTGCGTTGTCTGTACTGACGAAGCTCACCCAATGGTAGATTTTCTGCAAGTTCCTAAGTCGGTTCCCAGAACGTAAAACACGACCGTCAATACGTCGGTCCTCGAGAATAGTGCGCATCTGGTAGGTTGGTCGTCCTTGCAGGTCGGTTCCAGATGGCAGCACCCACTCTGTTTACCCTGCACCGTCCCCTTGCGAGACCGTCTCAATGAGACGAGACTTTGTGATACGGGCGTGAGGCACAGAATCTAACAGTCGCTGAATAGCGGCTGCGACGTTTGGGGATTCGCCTAGATGACCCCACGTTCTCAAATACCTGGTAGCTGCCTGGTCGAGGCGACCCCAGCCTCGGTTTCGAAGGTGCTGTTGGCGCCGCCATAAAAACAGGTAGAAGCCGGTCAGGAGAGCGGCTTAAGTTGGGGAGGTTGTTGACATCGATGTGCTTTTTAAAACGACTAGAGGGATAGAACTGTTTTACTACGTTGATTTCATTTCTGTGTCAGAGGTTTTATAGACAATTGGGAAAATGCAAAATGTCTGGTAAAACTATCTCTATTGACCTTAGTCAGATTTTTTACATTCAATTTTGAAGAGGTAAAATGTTTCGGTTCACAAGAAATGCTATTTGTGTTAAACTCAGTCCTAATCGGTGCTTAGGGCATGTCCGTTTGACAGCGGCCGACCAGCTGGCGCACGAGTGGCCATTGTATGCGGTTGTCGTCGTTTTCTTGGAACAGAGCGGCTGACAAGCATTTTCTTGCCATCTAAGCCGGTGTAGCACTTGCTGGAGAGCAAACACCACGTGAATGCAAATGGCAAACTTGAAGTTGTACTGGCAAGGACAGGTACCCGTATTCACATCAGCATTCCTGTCCCCTTCCGGTTGTCCCTGTAATTCCAATCGCGCGTAGCTCACACCCATCTGGGCCGACACAGGTGCTACCTCACGACTGCATTCCAGCTCAGGCAAAAAGACAATGCTCGCAGCTGCGCGGCTGAACACGAACAACGTTGGGATTCGGGGAGCTCAGCAAAAATGCGATGCTGGAACGGCTAGGGGTCTTGTCGACGATGATATCGCGCTTTCTGAAAGCTCGATCCCAGGCCTTAAGTTGATTGGTGACATCAGCACTCTCCGTGAACGCTCGTGGTGTCACAGACTGGTGGCCGCAACAGTCCGCTAGTAGCCGAAACAACATGCCAATTTTGTGCTTGTTACGAAGTGTGTAGTCGCGCTTGATCAGTCTGTTAAACGGCTCCACAGGATTGTTCGTCGTCGCATATCCGCGTGGCCTATGAAAACATTGCCTTCGACAAATCCTGCTCGTCATCCACACAGTTTCGAAATAGTGCCGGAATCCACTCAGTTGCTTTTCACGGGACCACCGCTTCAAAACAGTCATCTTCTGCTCCTCATAGGCTTCTTGGCTGCATGCAAAGTGAAGGTCGTCAACATCAGCGATCACTTGTTCACACAAGCTGATACTAGTACCCTTGAGCCTCTCGTGCACTTTTACTATTACGTGGTAGAAACACATCAGGTAGATAAAATCCGAGTCAACGCCAAAAACTTCGGTAACGGCACGTTGCTGCGCAACTTCAGCGTCGGCCATCACATACTTGAGATAAAGCTGCTGGTTCGTCACTGCCGTAAATATCTTACGAAGTAACGTTAGCGCTTTCACATACAGCCCACTTCAGCCGTTGTGACGTGATGAACAGCGCCACTAGGTGAAATGAGCGACACCTGTCGGATATGCCGCAAACGATCACTAGATACCCCACCTGGCTTAGCTTGAACGTGGCATCCATGGAGAACAGATACGCTGAGGTAACAAACGCTTAGTTGTCAAGCCCACCAGGAATGACTTCTCTTCGGACCCGTTTCCGACATCAGGCTTACCATTAGGGTCGCGATTCCAGGCAAACGAAAATGGCTCGGTGTCCGACGTCGCTGGGCCGTACGTCAGCTGGTCGATTTGTTCCGAAATGTCGTCGTGGTTGTCATTGCGGCTCAAGTGGTTTCTCGTGAAGCTGCCAACAAACCACTGAACCTGTCGCAACGTCGGCATATCGCTCTCCACTAGACCGAATCGCCGTCCCACTCCTTCCCATGCGAATACGAGCTGGTTTTAGGCCCTGGGTGGCCATCTCACGACCATAATCCTCGAGTCTTGGTGTCATCTTGGGTTTCTTCGGCTCTCGAATGAGTGTTTCATGTGCACCAGCTTCCACGACTGTAGCGCGGATTTCCTAACAAGTCAGCACCTTTGCCTTCCACGGACATGTGCCGTACGGTGTCGCTGTCTTGCGAGAAGATATTGTCAAGGTTCTTGTTGTAATACTTTGGGTACGCGACTTGCAGAATCGCAGACTTGCCAGATCTGCGTACCAGTTAGCAAATGTGCGGGTCTCCATTGGACTTGAAAAAATCGCGTCGCTGCGATAACATGGCTTTGATGTTCTCCCCGTAGGTGAGGTAGTCGCGAGAAAACTTCGTAAAGGCTTCCTCTTCTTTGCCTTCTTCGATCATGCCACACATCCCTTTGATTTTACGTCGTCCCGTTTGCTTTTTTATTCTTCGGTAGATCGTTTGGTTACTTGTGCGCTGATGTGTGGTTTGTCAGCAGGCACATTGCCGTACTCAACCAGCTTGAGGTCCTCGTTCACTTTCGTTTTGAGATTTGTGTGATGGTCGACCTAGCCTTGGATCGGAAGATCGCGGTTAGGTGGGACAAGGTGGTATTCGTTTCCTTGCTTTATCTGAAGATTCTTCAGAATATACGACTTGGTGACGCGGTTATTGTACACCATCCATCGCTAAATGCACGTGCTTGATACGGTAGTCCGTCTGATAGGGACGATCACCGATTTCAACACCACCTACGAGGCAAAACTGGAGCTTTTCTTAATCAACTTCGCATTGGATGTTGAGAAAAAGGCGCTGACACACACGCTAATCGAATACGCTGATCATGATACCGTGTAGAAGCTTGATGTGAAGTCAAAACATTCTGCGATGAAGCCGGATTCCCTGCGGACCAAAAGTACAAGACCTCTCGATTGGCACGCACGACAGTTCTTGTGTCGCCAAATTTCACTTTTAACGTTGTGTTACCCGAGGCCATGTCTGGTCTAATGAGAGCCTTATGCTTTACGTCGTCGATTTAACGAAGTCAACGTTCGGATCATCCTTCAGATTCTCGGACTCAAACCGCTGTCCAAGTATAAACAAAACAACTTGAAACGCCAATGCAATCACGATCCAACGACGTTGTTCATTGCTTGAAACTATACGAGGGACATTCCTACGGGCGAAGGGATGCCTACCAACAGGTGATTAAGGGCCATTACGACGTGTCAATGGTTGCACCTTTTTATAGTACCAGCTACGTCTGGAAGCTGAGGATCCGATACAAAAGGTCTCGTTAAAAGCTGTAAGTCAAGATGGAACTATGCTATAGTCTGTAGCAGTGTAGTATTCTTTAATCCAACCATCTTATGTCTACTGCTAGGCAGTCTGCTTGCAGTGGGCCAGCTCTAATCTACCTCACTTCGTCTTTTGACGCCTGCAAGTAACTTATTCTTCTCTCTTCATCTTCTCTACCTGCCTACTGAGCCCAAGCCAAGCCTCAAGCGACGACTTCCCAAGCCTCATCGGCGCCGAAGACTTCGACGTCTGGAAGGCCCGTGTGTGTGCAGCATTAGATGGCAAGCACCTACTCGGCTACGTGAAACAGCCTGATTGCGATGGTGGGTCTGAAGACTAGAGTGAAGACAGCGGCAGCGATATGTCTGACACCAACGATGAACCGCATGCCAACGCTACCAAGAACGTCGAAATCGACTCTGACGCTGTGAACTATGACGAGAGCGACGACGAGCTCAATCCGCCCTCGGACTCGGAGAAAGACTCTGGAGCCAGTTCCGATACGTCAATCAAGACGAACGACCTCCCGGTTGTTCGACCATTTCACCACCGCGAGGCTCGCCGTGCACGCAAACGCGCCAAGAACGAGAAGACCCAGCCTCTTAGCCAGTGCGAACGCCGTCGACAAGAAGCCAAGATCAAAGCCTTCTTGATGAAAACGATGGACAACATGCACGTGCGGCTGGTCAAGAATCTCACGACTTCCTACGAGGTATTCAACTACATCTGCCAGAAGTACGAGGGGGTAGCCTTTGATGGTGATCTGTACTTCATTGAACACTACTTGATGAAGATCAAGTATGAAAAAGACTCCGACTTGACCGAGTTCTTTCTCGAGCTAGAAAACGCGATGAAAGCCGAGTCAGAAGCCACCGAATCGGTGATGCCCGAGGGACATAAGTCTAGCTACCTGCTCCACTCGATGCCCAAGTCGTGGAAGGACGATCTCCGCATCTGGAAGGGCCAGCGAAAGGAAGACCTTAACCAGAGCATTGAAGGCAAGGTTCGCAATCTTCAAGCTCAAGAGCGCTACACCTTGGCCAAGAGCACACCAGAGACCTCTGCAATCAAGGGTATGAGAGCCCTATTGGCTACCGTACCTCCTGTGTCACACGCTCAAGGCCGTGTTAACGCCAATGTCAGCTCCTACTGTGATCGCCCACGCCACAACATTCGTCAATACAGAAGCCTTCAAAACGATTTGCGAGATGGACGAGTGAAGGCTGGGACAGTGCTTCCTGCTAACTTCGCCTTCAAGGGTAACTCGAAACGCGATCACTCGTACCAGAACTTGAACACAGGTGGCAATTGATGCCAAGGCAAGAACAACAACAACCGCGACTTCAAGGGCAATAGCGGTAGTAGCAAGAACAAGCTGCAAGCAATGCGGCCAAGATCGCGACAAGGACCGCCCTCTTGAGTCAGACAATGACGAGGAAGATGACGACGACAGTGATTCGGAAACCAACCGCAAGGTAGCTCGCCAAGGACGTCGTGACACCGGTCTTATTGCTGTTGCTACGACCGTCAATCTCCCGTTTAGCCTCACCGCTCAAGCCAAGGTAGAACCCGACCCCACCTGGACGATCGACTCTGGCTGCACTCGCCACGTCACCCATGAATCTCAGTGGTTAACCGACATCACCTCCAGTGGTGGCTCAATTACGGTTGATAGTAAACACCAAATCCCCATCGAAGGCATCGGACGGGTCGATCTGGAAGTCACTGACTTCAAGGGCACTATGCAGAAGCTTATCCTTCATGGTGCCATGTATGCTCCCCAGCTCCAATTCAGTCTGCTATGAATTCCAGCAGCTGTGAAGCATGCAAACTGACCAGCGCTTCAAGATCAAAGTGCTCATGG